AATAATTTTTGAAAGATTTGGGTGATTAGCTCAACCGACAACCCAAAAGAAATTCGTTTTGACGTGGTTTGACCAAGGGTATTGCCTGCTCATGGATTCAGAGGTGGACTACTGTGAACTTCAGTTGTGGCTAATTACCTAGCCAACAGGATAAAAGAAATTTTTAATCCCGGATGTTCAAAGTCACTTTGTTAACACACTAAAAATCACATGTGTGAGAGTGAGTCCAGTTTACCCATAGGAAGGTTATATGAGAGGTTAGAAATAATTCTGCCAAAACTCGATTGTCCCTAATCTGGTCACCAAGCGCTGACTAGCCGTCAACTACTCACACATTATTCTCAAATACATCCAATACAAATTCAAAAAATCTTCTATTACCACTATTCCAGCCATCCAGATGACGTTGTTTCTGATTTTGTTGTTGTCGACCTGCCTAGGCATCGACGCACTTTGGCGGTGAGTTCCGAATTCTATCTCAGTCGAAAAGAAATTCATGAAAATGATTCAGTGTGCCCATATCCAAAACACTTCCCGATCGGAAGGATTATAATAAGGACGCCATCGCTGAATATCTGAGACAGAAATACATCACAAACTACACATTTGCCTCATTCTCTGGCTTCCAAGAAGGGCTTTCCAATTATTTGAACGTGAGTTACCGCTACAAGCACACATCAAGTAGCTACTCAACTCGACCAATTTTAGGCACAGTACTACGGCACCATTCAGATTGGAACTCCTCCTCAAACATTCAAAGTGCTATTTGACACTGGCTCGTCCAACCTATGGGTCCCGTGCTCGAATTGCCCACTCACCAACAAAGCTTGTTCACAACATCAGAAGGTAGGAGGACAGCAAACTGCGGTCAAATCAGTGTGAATAGTCAGTTGATCATTTTTAGTTTAATTGTGCGCAATCGTCAACTTGCACCCAAACGTACCAGCCCCTTACGCTTCGTTATGGGACCGGCTCGCTGCAAGGTTACGTCGATTACGATACTGTCTGCGTGAGTTTTGAAATCTCTCAGAATATATTGCAACCCAGGAGTCTGTACCGTGTTTTCCAGTTTGGAAAAAATCAAAAGTATTGCACCAACAGCTATCAAGGATTTGTTTGTGCAATGCAGGAACCCGGAGACACATTCCTTGTGAGTTGGAATGGCGTTCTTGTGAACAGGTAACATAACGAGAGTAATTCCAGAACATGCCATTCGACGGCATTCTCGGAATGGCATGGGATTCTATCGCAAAGGGAGGGATTTCCCAACCAATGTCTCAGATCTTCTCTAATCAGGTCATTTCTATAAAACGCAAAGCGTTAATGCAAGAAGTTAGCTAGGCCACTTGCAAATCGTAACGGTGTCCATGGAAAGCACAAAAGAGCGGAATACGCAGAGTTCGAAAATTGGAAAGACAACTTAGATATTCCGTAGAGTGCTATTATGCAATCGCGTAGTAAACCGCAAAGCTCTCAAATCGATTCCCGGCGCTAACCCAACCTATCATCCCTAAGCCTTAACCAATCGACACCGTGTTTTTCTGGAAGAATAAAGGTACTGGTCTGTTCTTAGGATGACCTTGTGTATGCGTCTAATGCGCCTACAAAACCAGAACAATAGATTTGGATTCAGTGCGTGGGGGGATCCCAAAATGCGTAGGTCATTTTCAAAGGATGTTGAATCCTTTGCAGATTCTTTGTCCAACAGCTGTTTTCTCTTTCTATCTGAACCGTGACCTCTACAACAATACGGTCGGCGGAGAGTTAACTCTGTGTGGAATCGATCCCACCCACTATCAGGTACTGCCCTAAAACTTCTGGTACTCGAAACTGACGATAGCTTTCAAGGGCCCTATTGCATGGGAGCCGCTCATCTCAGCGACCTATTGGCAAATACAGCTCGGAGGGCTCAGCATCAACGGGCAGCAAATTATCAATGGACCCGTCACAGCAATCGTCGACAGTGGCACCTCACTAATTGCTGGACCACCTGCACTTGTCCAAAAGGTAAACTCGAACATAAGCTTCAGTTTACTTGTTCCTTGCCCAACTCGCAATTTAAGATCCAACAAGCAATCGGAGCAGGCGCGTCAGGATCGATTGACTGCAGCACTATTTCCAACCTTCCACCAATCACTTTCGTCATTGGTGGTGCACAGCTGGTAATGACGGCACAGAGCTACGTGATTAAGGTAACAATTTCGTAACGTTTGTGCCTGAAAACTCGAAGCCGGGAATAGCAGCATGGTTACTGTATCTGGATTCAACATAACATCTCTTCGGAGGTTAACAGGGGAGGAGATTAGGTCTCAAATGCCATATGATGCCACATGTAGGTAAAGGATGGAATACGTAGTGAATCGTTCACATATATCCATACTGATTTTTTAGTACACCGACGGAACGTGCACATCTGGTTTCCAAGAATTCCCAGAACTGGCTGCTGGTAAACATTGTCTGTTTAGGTAATGTTTTTCGTAGAACTGTACAACGTGATTTCAGAAAACTCTTGGATCCTCGGTGATACCTTCATAGGCGCCTTCTACACGATATTCGACCATGGAAACCGGCGTGTTGGATTTGCAGTATCAACCTAACTCACCTGCAAACGTTAGACAAATCAATAAACTCTATGAAAAACATCTTTGGACTTCCATCACACTTCCGGAAATATACAGCGCAGCCTTGTACAGTCTGAACAAGAAATAATTACACAGGCGAGATTTCGCCGAAGTTTTGTCCATAACTCACCAACCTTGTGAGCCTTTCGCCTGGCGTACCGCGGCGAAAAAACAGCAGTTAATCAAATATCAAGTCAAAACGAAAAATATAATTTCTAGAATCAATCAACTCCATTTTTTGGTTGCGCCCCGTATCCACTTCAACTCAGAATCGCAGTGGCGTTATGAATGCATATGTACTCAGATTAAATTGTTTGCATTGGTCAGCCGAAATACAAGCCCATGCTTTTGCGCCCTCAGATGAGTTTGATACCAATGACCGACCCCGAAGAATGGTAGGCTTGGCTTGATCACGTGTCAAACTGGGGTTGAATCCCCGGTGTATTAGTGCTCTACTCGCCACTACATCACCTCCGCCCTCAACGAATATAAGGAAGTATGTGAACAAAATACGAATGGCTCACCATTTTGTTGACTCTTGTGAAGCCGACGATGTGGGTCTTGCAAGTGATAATCGGCTTCTCTTTCACTGTTTGATCCCTTTTAATGGAGAAAATCTGTCCATCACGAGTGCTCACGAAAATACGATAATCGATGTCAAAGACCCCTGAATTGCTTCAATCAAGATAGACCACAAAGAATAGGTGATACAGATCAGTAATCTCGACACGGGGTCAGGTGGTATAGTGGCAGGAGCGCACTATCACTCACGTACTGTCACGGGTTTGAATCTCGGATTGATATCCGTCTAGGCTAACCAAGCTTTCAATTCATCCGGGGTCGGTTGATTCGTACCAGGCTCGTGTGGAAGGACAAAAGCACTGAGTTGTACTTGTATTGGCCACCGCAATTCAATGCGCCACTACGATTCTGAATGGAAGTTGAATGCGGAGCGCATCTTCCAAACGGGCTTGATCCACGCCCAAAGACTTATCCCTATCCTTCATTCTTTCATCTCGACACAAAGTCGATTTCCTCTTTTCACTGTACAGGGGTTCTGATTACTGTACTGCACTGGGTGAGTTTGAATTTGAAATTCCATTATCAGTTACAAATTCTCTACAATTTTGCTTTCATTCAGAATCGTAGCGGATCTTGAAAGCTATACAATCGATTGAATTGGCCAACCAATGTACAAGCCTAAGTTGTATCCCCCATACAGGGACTGATACGAACTGACAGACCGTGGACGGATGAAAAGCCTAGTAAGCTTATGCTGGTGATGGTCCAAACTCGATCTCTGAACCATATGTATGGAAGAAGCACCACCTCACACTACTCTTTCTCAAAGCCTTTATTCTTCCTGTTGTGATTCGTGTATTGACTACTTTTTCCTTGCGAAAATGGACTGGGCCAAGAATGACAATCTAACCAAGTGATGGGCTGATATTCACTTTGCAATTCACTTTTCCCTATTAACATAATGGTAACACCACGTAGGTAAGCCCAGAAGGTCCAAATACATAGTTTGACAGATGGGAAAATTCAGATGGTCTGATTCTACAAGCGAAAAGCGACAAATCTGACATATGGTATTCGGTTTGAGAATGAGAAAAATGGAAAGAGGATGACCTGTAGTTCATCTGTAGGGGAAGAATCGTATCAAACTCGCAACTAGCCCTCTTAATATCCATTTTTTTCGGTTTTAAGAGATTATTACCTGAGATAATAGGTAAATGTTAGTGATATCTTAATCGGATAGTTACTCGACTCGGCTTCTAAATTTTGAGAAGGTTGATCTTACCGTATGTGACAATCTGCACAGGTACACCGGGAATCCGACAATCCGCTATGATTTGGAATGCCTGTGAATCGACAGCTCGAACCGTTCCTCGTTCAGTACCGAACACCAGCACGTCAATGTTATCTGTCGACGATTTGGGAATCGATGATAGACAAGTGATAGTTGACTATAAAAACTCAAAAATCGTGACAGTAAAAGAATAAATAGAAAAAAACAACATATAGAAAGCAAAAAACAATGGAAATGATCATATGCGCTGTGAAATTTTCGAGAATCGTCATGCTTATGGCTTGTAGCCCAAGTCGTGTTAGTATTTTTTATTGTGCCACCAAAATTAGGAACACGGAATACGTAAAAAAATGCAGTTTTGAGGGGCTTGGAATTCTTTCAATTTTTTCTTGCGGGACCTTAATCAATCAGCAAAGTACGAAAGTTCTTCCGAGAGGGTTTTCAGACCTCTGCTGAACCCTGGTAAATTTATGGATGGGATCGAAGAAACTGAAGAAAGAAATAATTCTGTGGAACGTTCGACTGTCATGGTAGCGACTCCATGGCACCTACTATCCTACCTTCTGATAGAAAGCTCGACAGATAGATGTAGAAGTGCAGTACAACAGTCCCTGCACAGTACAGCTACCGTATACCATTGGATGAGGCAATAGCAAGGTGTAGATTGGGTAGTGAAAATGTAAGGAATAGGAACAGAAGAGATCTGTTGAAGCTCGATCGGGTGTTTCAGAAGCATTTTGCTATACGGCCCTCTTCGAACGATTCGTGTTTAGAAATTGGCAAGTCTGATTAATTTAGCTCACCCTAAGGGTAGAATTGCTGATTTATTAGGTTGTAACATAAGTTCGTAGAGTTTTTCACAAAGATTTCTCTGAACAAAAAGCAGTAATTGCAATAATAAATCATTAAATAAGTTATTATAATAATCAGCCAATACACGAATTGTTTCGCGACCTTCTTCCTTAAATAGTGCCTTCAGACGCTCTTGGTCGAATTCTGCAGGTCGTCCGCTTCGAGGCGTGTCTTCAAGCTCGAAGTCGCCTATTTCAAGTTTTGCGAACCATTTTTGTGCAGTAGACACACCTATGTAAGACACCTTCCCTGTACACACTGCATATCTCCCGAGCTGTTTCGGCAAGAAAAGCAGATGTCGAAAATGCTGATTTTTCCTCCTAGATATTCCATTTCTGAGCCAGAAAAAAGACGAACAATTAAACTCCCCAAAAAAACAGATAAAACAGTTTTGTAGAGGAGAAAAAGCTCTTTAGAATGAATGTATACACTTTGCTGAATAACAAAACAAAACGTTGCAAAATAACTCTAACGCAAAACTCTACGAACTTATGTTACAACCCAATATATCGCGCTCAATGTTGAATATAGCAGGGTCATCCTTATGAACGCATCTGATTTTATGTTTCAGAAGTAAGAAGCTTTTGTAAAACACCCAAATGACTCGGAAACCCGGTAAGCGATCAAACCCTACCGGATTTTGAAGATTATTCACATATTTTGGTGTTGCATAGTAGTCGATAAATGCCGGACGATCCTCAGCCTTCGTTACAAGCAAAGTTTGAGATAGCGGTGTAAGCTCTTTGGGTGATATCTGGAAGTAAAATAATTGGTTTTCTCACTGGTTACCCAGTAGGGTTTGTAAAGTAAATAAGTAGCAAACAAATCAATAAATGACTACTTTCAATGTTCAACGGAATATTACCTCATTTGCCAAACTTTGTATGACGGTAAAAAGCTGGTCCGGTGTAAGCTGTTTGGCACAAGTCTTCGTCCAGGCTTCTTGTTCAACCTTATGGACCGGTGCTGATGGTGTATTGTACTGTAACAAACATGTGATACCGTATTATATAGCCTACTTGTTTATTTATTTGTTTATCCATAACATTTATGAGACATTAGTTAGAAAAATAGTCAACGGCACAAGCTCTAAAGAAACTCTGAGATTACTAAAAAGCTAAAAGAAGAGTTTAAAATCTCCGAGTGTTGACCAACTATGCGTATATGTATTTCTGTCAATTTTGAAATGATAGGCGAGAATATAATTAACAAGAGTAAAACCAACTTTTCAGTTCAAAAAGAATGATCATCAAAGGGTGAGGTGGGGCAGGTAGTGAGTGACATACTATCCTACACAAATGCTCTGCGGATCGAGTATCGGATCGATACTCGCCCAGGCCAACTAGATCTTCCTTGCCTCTGGGTGAGTTCAGAGTCGTCTGGAAGGGCATCGACTTGTACATGATCATCGTAAGTTATTATATAGGCCAAATCAGCATCAGAATGCCACAGCGATGCCATCAGCCTCGCATCTGAAGTATAATGCAGCCTGTGAACTGTTTCCTGCAGCACCTTCGACCGCTGCTCTTATATGTATCCCTTTCAAATCGATGAAATTTACTGAAAACGACGATTCTGATTATTTTCCAGGCAGAAAGGGCTTGGTTGAATCATCACTCGAAAAATGTTCTCGACTACTTACTTGATAGAAAGGTTTCAGATTCTTGTAGATACGTATATATGAACCAGAGGCGACCCCAAGAGCAGGTAACGTGATCTGAAAGCAAACAATAGTAAAAAATGGGGCAAACAACTGGGTTTAAAAATATGAAAAGTGGTATTGATAACAAAATTACTTTTTCATTGTAAAATGAAACAACAGCTGTTGGCATATCGGCCAGGGCACTTTCACCGACCACAGTTACACCTTTGAACACCTTCAAACGCATGTTAAATCTGAAAAGTGAATAACGTTAAGGAATCGGAAGTGGTGCGCTCTTTTGAGACAAATGTTTCACCAGCTTGTAGTATTGAAGCCACAGTTGAAACTTCTCCATTTACTGAACCCGTGACCCTCAAGGATAGCCTGAGTGATGCTTTTGGCTCGAAAAACGGCCAAGTTAAGGTGCAGTGGCTCCAAGGCCAGCTTTACGTACGTATACGTCCAAGGCTGGAGAGTTTCTAAGCTTTCTCGAAGTTGTGGAGGTTGCACCATTCGCACCAGGACCAACATCTTGAACGCGGGCGCCTTACAGCAGCCAGCTGTATGCAATGGTGCGTATATTTGAAAAGTTCAGCCAAATATTGGGTTGTAACATAGGTTCGTAGAGTTTTTTTCTCACAAAGATTTATTTGAACATAAAACAATAATTATAACAATAAGTTAACCAATGATGTATCCTTCCTTACTGTTTACGCTCTCCTCCCATCTTTCGACCAATTTGTTGATGCCGTTTCTCCAAAAAACGGAAGATCTGGTGTCGAAGAAGTTGTTGAGCCAGTTTTTAAGATCCTCTTCGTCATCGAGGGTAACACCCCTCATTCGGTTCGACAGAAAGCGCTAAAGGTGATAGTCGGTCGGTGCAAGATCCGGAGAGTACGATGGATGCTGAAGAACCTCTCATTCAAGCTTTTGGAGTGATGTTTTGACGACTTGGGCATTATGGGGCCTGGCGTTGTCGTGGAGCCAAATGACTTCACCTTGTCTATCGGGTCTTTTCAGCCGTATAGCCACACTAACCTGGTTTAGCTGGGCAATGCAGACCTCCTTGTTGACAGTAACATTTCGTTCGAGCATTTCCCAGTGCACCGTGCCTTTCCAGTCTCACCAAACGCAAATCATGACCTATTTTGAGTGAAGGTCTTGCTTGACTCTCGGCTTCAGCGTCACTCCTAGGACCACCCACTCCTTTCAGTAGACACACCAAAGACACCTACCCCGCACACACTGCATATGTCGCGAGCGGCTTCGGCTGCTTTTTGACCTCGATGAACAGCAAAGAAAAGCAGATGTCGAAAATGCTGATTTTTCCTCCTGGATATTCCATTTTTGAGCCAGAGAAAAGGTGAACAATGAACTATTTAAAAAAACAAGTGAAACAGTTCTGAAAGAACTCTTTTGAATGAATATATATTTTTTTCGAATATACACTTTGCTAAGAATCAATACAAGTCGTTGTAAGATAACTCAAACGCTAAGCTCTACGAACTTGTGTTACAACCCAACATCTCTTTCATGCAACTTTTGTCTCATCCAACCCCTATTTTACTTATTTTTCAAAACCTTGTATTTCTCTGGATACGATGATTTTCGCGTTTTAACTTTCGCACTATTCTGGACTACCACTGCGATCACTCGTCCAAACTTAGATACCCCAAAATCGTCGTAAATTGTGCCTGGAAATATCTGAAGAAAACTGTAACATTCGACTGTTGCATACTTACCTTGAACTACCGACATGTGCTAGGACGAGTTTTGTATCGCCATCACCGTACATATCGGATAGACAGACGCAATGTGCAAAAGTGAACACACCAGCCTGCTCATCTGATAGTGCTGACATCCATTTGACTGTGTCTGGCATGGCCATATTGGCCCTGAAAGATTTAGAAAGGTCCACGTAGCTTTGCGTATGGACAACGGTTTGAGTAAGGTATCACTGGTAAGAAGAAGTACATAGAAGCGAGAAAGAAATCCACTGGTTGAAATTAATCAGAAGACCACTGTGAATCATGAAGTGGAAACAAACTCAAAAATATTTCAATTAGAAGTTTTACCTACGGGAAATTCTTTCCCATTTTTTTACATTGATGTGATATTACCTGTATTCGTTGAGGTCCATTGTGTATATTTATATAATTACGCTATAAAAAAATATTGCTCTGAAATTGGGTTCAAATCGGATCACTACACAGACTCAAATGGTAGGTAGTTTTTAAGGGCTTCAGGACGATCCTATCAAAATCCACTGAAGCTGTCATCTGACGTGAACTGTCAGAACCATATGCCCAGGTCGAAAGACTGAGACTAAAATAGGGAAGAGGAGGGGAAACTTGAAGGAAGGGTTGTGTTTGAGAATTCCTCTTGTCAATTCCAGGTAAACTTCACGTATAGTGAATGAACGCCCAGTTGGTTGGGAAGGAAGGGAAAACATTCATCAACGAGAGTAGGGCTTTAAAGCCTTTTAATAAGGGATTTAAACTAAAGGTTTCTATGGTAAAAACTATGGTCGTTGTGTAGTTTTTATTGGTATAAAAAAATTAAACAAAGAAATCAGCATGAAATTCAGCTTGTTGACAAGCGTTAGTAGGGCTGAAGGGTGCAGTTGCAAGTCGAAGCCTGTCACCATGGCGACACAAAAGAGCGCGAATTTCAACCCCATAATCTAACTGGGTATGCAGACGTTCAGGCGACGGAATTATTTTTGGAATACCTTTGTTATATGCGAGACTTGCAGATTATTTACTTCATTTTCAAATCATTAAGAAGAAGTTGTTAAGGTCATCGCCGTATTAACCGATGAGCGGCTATTGTAGAGCGGAATAACGATACCTGGTCACTTGGTTTTGCAAGGTTCCTGAGACGTCAATGTCACGGGAATTCTCAGTTTTCTGAAAAACACTGATCCAGTTGAGAGAAGTTGAACTTGGATAGCTTTGATGACAGCGCATGCTACTATTTAGTTTCTGTTTGGGATTTGTCTTTGGTGCATAGCAAACACAAGAAGTGATCAGGTCTGATTGTTTACACCCACCAGTACGATTGTCTTATGGAAAGGTGGCTGTTTACTCTTGATTGGTCGTCTAGTTTAAAAGGCCCAAACCTAAGCGGTAGGCCTCATTTCTGCCGATGTCCAAAAACAAGAAAGACGCCAAAGACGAAGGAGTAAGTTTCGATGTCTTGCAGATGGACACTTTCAGGATGACACCAATGACACCGTTCAGACCAATTCACGCTCCGATGATGCTGTCTCAATAACAGATGATGTACGTGGTGCAGAATACTACCATGGACTTATTCCCAGGTAATTTTCGAGAGCTCCTGGTCGATGCCGGTACACAGTTCAAAATTTATCAGGATGGACGCAGAACCTTTACTCAAAAAAGAAGGCGACTTTCTGTTACGGAAGACTGAACACTCTCCGGGTACGTTGAGTAGAAGGTTTTCCAGCGAAGGCAGCTTCCTAATCGTTCAGCTACTCATGTTCCTTCTGAGTAGCCTGATAGTAGGAATGGGTTGCGGGATTGAGCTCCTCTCGTGCGGGTGTAAAGTTGACTGGAACTGACTGTGCCATGGATACACGCAGTGTGGCTGGCAGGCATAGGAGAGGTTTCAGGTGAGGAGGAAGGTAGTAGGGAGGGAAGGGGAAAGTACCACTCTTGTTAGGGTTTATCATTATCATCATATCAGGATTAACTTTCATCCTAATATTCTTTTTCTGGCAGCCTTACCTGTGAGCGGTGGCTTTCCATATCCATATCACTCTCCTTATCACAATCAAAGGGACTTTCGGGATCGAACAGACAGATTGACGATCCGGCACCCGAGCTGCCGTATTCGCCCATTTCTAGTACTATCTGACTTACACCTTCTTCCCACCCAATCGGTTCTTCACTTCTGTTGTACCACCGGCTTACAATCCTTCACATCCTTTTAGCATTTGAAATTCATGACTCAATAATTCTCCCTTCCCTGTTTTTCGATCACTTTACTGTCACACGATTACGAGCAATGTTTGAGATCAGAAATTTGATGCATCTCTCTCCGTCTGTATTACACCGTCCTACTAAATAGGACCAAGTCAATAAATCAATCTGCAGCAGTATCGGTTTTAGGTATGATCGTATTGGCGTTGTCCTGCAAAACAGAAAGTGGTGTTAAACACTTTATGATAAATCAAGACGCTGATGGTACATTCTATCTAGAACATCATCATGAAAAAAGTATAGCAGATTTGATAGCATGGCATTTGTGAGTGTGTTTAATTACAAGCTTTTTCAAACCCTTGCTAGTTTAAGCCTGAGGAATATCCCTCAGCTAAATCCATGGCGTTTCAGTATGCCAGTAGTAGGGGGCGCTGTCAGATCGGTAACGGCCCAGATAGATCATTATATGAAAGGGTTCTGTTGTAACTCCAGAGGCGACTATGTACTCTTTTATTGGAGTTGACACAAAAAATGGACCATACTCAACTGAACACTAATCCATACCCAATGATAGGGCATGATAGTAACACTACTATCATTCCTCAACAGGGTCAGAGATTGTATCGGTTGAATGTCGCACCCGTAGTGGACGAGTTTCAACGGCGTTGTAGAGTCTCGAGTGATATCTCAAGGGACTCTTGTTGGAAGTTCGAACATCTTGCCATGATCCTGGCGACCTTCAAGATTGAAACTGTCAGTGTTATGGATTCAATTGTTCTGAATGACTTCAGAGCCACAAAAACACCGTTGTCGGCAGCATCGAACGCTCGTCTTCGACGTCCAGTTGAACGTACTCAGTGGCTTCTTAATCACGATTCTATTCTACTTGTAAAAGTATGATTGTATTGAATACTCCTACTTACCTCGCAGTTGGTAACCGGCTTTTTACAGAAACTTGGTGAAGGCGCATTTGGTGAAGTATATTTGGCCGAGTATGGCAGTGGCAAAACGAAACAGGAAGTAGCCGTGAAAACTATGAGGAATGAGGTGAATGATACGAGATATGAAAAAAATTAAGGACAAACATGGAACGAACTGGGTGCCCCTTGCCTGTCCTGTGTGCGCCATGCATTTATTGAAAATTTTCGACATGGATAGTTCTCACCTGACGTAACCAATTTCATCTGCCGCCAAAGACAAGCCACGTCCACTTTGAAGATCAAGCGTAGAGGAAATTTCGGTATTCCCAGTACGATTTCATTGTGGTCAACTGAAATATCTATACCAATGAATCTGTGAAAAGTGACTGTGGAGTGACCGTGAAAGATTAAACTGCCACTATCCTTCTTTGTCCTTCATTTCAAAAGCTTTCACTGTTCTGCCCCAACCCAATCCTGACTGGGAGAGTCCTATGTAGCCAATCTTCAACTCAACTTTTCATATATTCAGGCTACACGAGATGCTCGTTTAAAATTCATGAAAGAAGCCCGACTAATGCGAAAATACAACCACAAACACGTGGTGAAAATTCTTGGTGTAGCAGTTCACGAGCATCCGCTCATGCTTGTAATGGAGGTCTGCCCAAGTGAGTTCATGGTTCCCATTGAAATTCAAGAACATCAACCGCTGAAGAGCCCTTTCCTAATAACCTGTCCTAACGAATGATCCCTCGACGTTCGCAGTGAAGACGAGCAATTGGTGGGTAGAAATCGGATGTGGCTGGAAAAAACTCGGCTAGGGACTGGGAACAGGTGCACATTGTATCTCCTACGGCTCATCGTAATCTATCCCTGGGCTGTCAAAAACTTTTACTGCTAGAAATGGTCTACTGTACAGTATTCGAAAAATGTCCGGGAACGCGTATGAATAAACTTATAGAATTCTCTAATATCGATTGACGAAGCTGTGCGGACGCTGACGCACGTGTACGTGTTAGGCGTCGCTCGCCGACCATTAGAAAGTCTAAACACCGTCTGTGAAGGGTCATACTCTCTACTTTGTGGAACTATCATTACAACTTGTACCTGACAGTGATACGACCGCTTTTGTCACATTCAGGGAAATGTCTCACAGATGAACCTACGCTTTCCGACCTCAATTACCAGCCATTTGTTTTAGATGGTTCCTTGCTGTCTCATTTGCGAAAAAACAAAGGGAATGTAGCGTTAGCAGAAAAGTTGCGATTTTCAACAGAAGCCTCTGATGGGTTGGCATACTTGGAAAAGAAACTCTGTATACATCGAGATATTGCAGCGAGGAATTGCTTACTGGGCGCCAAATTTGTGAGTCTTTCTCAGTGCCCTTACAAGTGGAACATCGCAAAAAACCCAGGTCTCTAACAAAAAATTTAAGGAAGTTAAAATAGCCGATTTTGGAATGTCAGACGATAAAGTGATTGTTCATGATGACACATTAGAAAAGGTTGGAANCATTTTATTCGGCACTGGCATCTTCTCTACTCATAGAGCACTCTGGCCCGTTGCAGGTTCCGGTGAAGTGGTTAGCACCGGAAACACTTCAAGACAAAATCTACTCGCTCAAAACAGATGTTTGGTCTTACGGTAGGTTGTTCTCCAATTTTAGGGTCTTATGTTCACCTCCCATGTAAGAGAAATCGACTACGCAGGAAGGACTCTCACTTGAGCAATGGCGCCGGAGTGTTGTGACGTCACAGAATCCCACAGAGAATTCTGCGAACTACCAGATCTCCCTGTAATCATACAGTATCCCCCACAAACCAGATAAGTAAAGTAGTGGGCGCGCACTTTACCCAGCACCCACCATCCAAACCTGTGCCCTCTTTCTAGGAAGTGCAGTCTAGGGACCGGGTGCGGAGACGAGAGAATTACTGAGGGAAAAGCCCTCACTAGTTTTTATGGTTACTCGTCAGTGAACGACCCAGGTGAAACAACATATACTTTGCCTATACTTCTAGTAGCTGGTGTTGGGTTAGACCAATTCAACGAAAGACTTGGCAAGTGGTGAAATCCCTTCCCCATTTCTTGCGTCATAACAAGGGTTTCTCAGCAAATAATCGAAAACACTTCCTGCGTAGGAGTTTCTTTTACTCCTCATCTTGTAACAGATATTGATGTTAATAAAAAACTCGTTTGAAGGTGTCCTCGTGTGGGAAATCTATGCAGATGGTGCAGAACCCTATCCAGGTTTAACACGACTACAAACTCGTGCTAAAATTATTGTTCAAAACTACAGAATGGAAATGCCGAAGGTGAATCCGTTTCATAGTATCAATGTGTAAATTACGATTTTGTTTCGTAAAAATCAATGAATTGGTGAGGAGCTGTAGTAGCAGACGGCGCACTATCACTCAAGGTCATGAGTTCGGATCCCGACCGATATTTGGCCACGCCAATTAAGCCTTCCATCCCTCTGGGGTCGCTTAATAGGTATCAAACTCGCCTGGTAGGATAAAAGCACTGACCTGTATGTCGGCTGGCCACCACAGTTCATTGTATAGACCACATATGCATTCAAAACGTCGGTTGCAATGGACCGTGGACTCCAGTAGAAAAGATAGGTTCATCACGTACTCAACGCAATTGAAGATAGTCAGCAATTGCTTAGCGGAAGCGTTCACACTGCCGAGGTGGACGTAAGGTCAGAGCTAAGGATGTCGCCGGCCGTCCTCAGATGCAGCAGAGTCAAGACTGTCCTCCCTGTTTACGCATTTGACCAAAGGGGTGAGTATAGTAAAGATGAGGTGCCCACAAGAGGCTTAGAGAGAAAAAGCAGAACCCGCGGACAACGATTGTGCGAAACCATGTGACTGTTCATATCGCTTTGAATATGTGGGATAACTAAACATATTTTATAAGCCTAACTATGATAACTCTGTACAAAGCCATTCATGCGGGAACTCCTTTACACAGTAATATTCTAAACGGGAGTCGAATGCGTGGGCACGAGGGATTGATCGACGGTAGAAGAGCGCTTAGGTCTTTGAAAATCAATAATTATTCACAGCATTCTGATCTATTATAGCTGTGGTTCCAGGATACGCCGAAAAGTGTCGCTGATATAGTATATTCGTGCTGGGATAAAGATCCAGCAAAGCGACCGGAAATGTCACGAATTTATCGAATGTTACGTGATATTACGGAAAAATCCAAATAGCTTAGGTTATTAGGTTATGAGAGAGATCGTTTAAAAATGGAATGACTGATTGTGCATATTGGCTATTGTGACTTTCAATAGTAAAAATGGTGATTGCCTTATCGTTACACTCCAACACTGCTTCGATACCGTAATCCTTCGTTGATTGTAGCAGATACAGTTGTTTTTTGGCACAGACACAAAATCTTTTCTCAGAAAATTGTGTTCGTAGAGAAAACTCGTTATAATCAACGATGACCTTGAGCAGACACCGAAGTGTACAGTGTTTTTGCTGGGGTTTTTACTTCGTAGGAATGTTCGTAGACTTGAAATTGGCAGTAAAAAATTCTTCCACAAGCGAAACCGTGATGGCAAGTGATGAGAAACGTAGCCCGTCACAGAAAGGGCAGCCAACGTTTTTAGTAGTTGCCCGCTTGCACTTTCCACTAACAAAGCCGCTCTGAAGGTTAATGTACTGCCATTGGATTCCTTTAAATAGCGGCCATTTGGTTGTGGCGATCAGTTCGCCGTCATGAGTAAGGTGATCGTGATCGGCTCAGCGGCCACGCTGGCCTTCATAGTATGTTCCCTCGTCACCATGGTTTCACTTCTGAAGGAGATCTCAGATCTTCAACTTGAAGTCGAAGTCGGCATGGACGAGTTTAAAGTAAGTTCGTCCCTAATCATACGAGGGCAGGAGAAGTAATGCTCCTGTTCCCCAAAGTTATATGCCAACGAAATCTAGAATTTTAGGGAATCACCGAGGACACCTGGAGCCGTATCATCACCAAACACGTGAATCCAACCGGAAGTTCAGATGCTCCACCAGACTTTGGCACACTCTTCGGAAGACGTCAGCGTGCTGCTGGCTTCCCTGATCAGTGCAACTGTGGTGCAAAATCGAACAACTGCCCAGCAGGACCACCAGGACCACCTGGACCAAAGGGACACCCAGGAGAGCCAGGAGCTGATGGCGAAGATGGTAGACCTGGTGCTCCAGGCATTGCCATCGCTGTCACTCACGACATCCCTGGCGGATGTATCACCTGCCCTGCAGGTCCACCTGGCCCACGTGGACCTCCTGGAGAACAGGGACCACCTGGACCACCTGGATCATTCGGTCACCGTGGACCTCCTGGTGCCCCTGGTCCAGTTGGAGAAATGGGACCTCAAGGAGACGAAGGTCAACCTGGAGCTCCTGGTCGTCCAGGACCCCCTGGCCCTCCTGGAGAAGTCGGAACACAGTACACCCCTGGTATGCCCGGACACCCCGGCCCTCCAGGACCACGTGGTCCACCAGGAGAACAGGGTCAACCCGGAGCACCTGGCAGCGATGGAAAGCCTGGCCCACAGGGTCGTCCAGGTCATCCTGGAAAGGACGGACATCCTGGCAGAAACGGTTCTCCTGGCCAGGTGAGTAGAACCTTTTACTCATGTGAAAATTTAAGTCTGGATGCATTGCCTTATTCCAGAGAGGAGAGAACGGAAAAACTGGACCGGATGCCGAGTACTGCCCTTGCCCACCTCGCCGCAAGCGCCGTCTTTAGATCAGTCGACTGCGGTCGTGCTACATGTTACTGTACTCGGTCTAACGAGAATGAAGATTCAACGCAAGTTGTCTGTTCACTGAAAGAAACTCGAAAAATTGGTTCATGGTGAAAGAGGGCTAGTGAGCGGATTGGGAACCTACGGGTGAAGCATTGTTGATTGATCCTTCCCATTCATAGCGACCCAGGTTAGGAAAATGGACATGTGGTAGTTCGAAGAAGCGTTTGCGTCTGCTTCACCCCTATCCCCCCTCCACACCCTTCGGGTTTGACCTTGGGCTAGCGGGCACTCATTAGGTCTGGCAGTTGGTTCCACCACAACGGCGATTCATTCAAGACGGGAAAAGGCTAGCAGCAAAAACGATGGATCTGCTAGCGTTCTTAGCGAAACACAGTGGAACCGACGAATTGCAGCAAGTGAAGAAGATGCCTTCAACTTGAAAAAACACCTGTCCTTTTCTATCAATCATTTGTGATTGCTGAACACAAAGACGCAACGGAGGAGAAAAACTCGGCAGAACTGCTACGATGGGGATCCCGTTTCTATTATAAATCATCGATGGTCTTCGGTGGATGATATACTTTATGTTTGACCATCAGATATGGTGTAGGAATCAAGCCCACCACCCTTCCATCCCTCCTAAGTTGGTTAATTGGTACAGACTCGTCTGGGAGGACAAAAGCGCTGGCTTGTACATCGGCTAGTCACCGCAAGTCATTGTATAGGCCACATACGCATTCATTACGCCGCTATGATTCTGAATGGAGGTTGAATGCGTGGCGCATCCCTCAAACGGGATTATTATTTATTACNGGAGGAGAAAAACTCGGCAGAACTGCTACGATGGGGATCCCGTTTCTATTATAAATCATCGATGGTCTTCGGTGGATGATATACTTTATGTCTTACTGTCAGATATGGTCAAGGAATCAAGAATTGCCCACTTATTTAGGCGGTATTTTGGTTATTTTAGTATTGATTCCTTTCGAGCTATCTCTGATTTCTCATTCGCCTGGGTCCACAAAGCCTTCCATTCCACCGGAGTCGATCAATTGTTCTGGGATGACAAAAGCACTGACCTGTACATCTGCTGGTCACCGCAAGCCATTGTATAGGCCACATACGCATTCATTACGCCACTATGATTCTGAATGGAGGTTGAATACGTGGCGCATCCCTCAAACGGGATTATTATTTATTACATGAGATGACTCGTGCAAGGGCTCTGAGGTAGCCACGGGATTGATTAACGCCTCAAAACTTTATCCTTTTCTACTGCTGATTTCCAATCCCCGTTACCCATACGGGCAGCTACGGAGCGTAAGCCTAAACCCCTAAAACAATGCGAGCAGGTCGAGCGTGGATCCACGAGTGTAGGGACAGAAGGTTGGAGAGACTAGCGGATCTGTTGTGATCAGAACATTTCGCGAATGTAACCTGCTCTTTTTTGGTGTTGATGTAAAAGAAGGTGAACGAGTTCGAATTGTGGAATTGTCTCATTGTCAGATCAGATACTGGCTTGCTACGTCGACTCTGTCTGGTGTACCCATCGTGCACAGATGATTGCCATTATAACCACATTGGGTCTGCTGCTGATTAATAGGTGATAGGCGTACCTGAACCCATCCCTCTGATGATGGATGTTCCGTTGGGCTCCCTTCCAGAAGAATTAGGCTAGCCACGCCTATCAATTTGTTTATAACCAGTGCTGACATAGCAAAAACCAGTGGGTCTCAAAACCTTCCTAGCACTGGTCTATTTCGTTTTTGTGAAAGGCCCTTGCCTTCGGCTTCTATTCGTAATTCGCAGTGGCATGCTGATTGCGTATTCAGCCTATATAATAACTTTCTGTGGCCAGACGACAAGTCAGTGCTTTCCCCTCGACGTGCCTTAAATCAACCAACGGTGAGGGGAGGGAAGGATTGGTTGGCCTGAACAAGTATCGGTCCGGAATCGGCGCTGATTATTGTTCAGTGCTTGGCTTGATGTGAGAGACGAAAATTCATCTGAGTGAGCTCAAAAATCGATAAAAGAGCAACGAATCGATGAACATTCCCGAATTGCTCACTTCCTTAGAGCACATACATCCATGAACCGTTAAGGAGGCGTTTGGTTTCCATTGAGATTACAACTGAAACTTTTGATTTCGGAACTAGTAAACCAATAAACCTGGAAGAAAATTCTCTATAACCTTAAAGGACCCTTGTGGCTTTGCGAAGAGATCAAATTTCAAGTCCTACAGATTTCGTTCCATCAAATTCGATGTGTTTAAGGTCATTTTTCCCCTATGAAACTGTTTAAAGAGTTTGGAAACCGCTGGTGCTATTGCTATGTATGTCGGAGAAAGTAAAGTAAGTTCACAAACATTCGTATGAGTATATGAGGGAAAGTAACTCGCATTGCTTAAGATAACTACAAAAGCAGAGGTACCCAGTACTAATGGGGAATGTGAGTGGTATCAAGCGGTTCCCACTCGACACTCTGGACCATCTCTGCCTTCTCTGTCGTTGAGCTATGAACAGGCATAACCTTCTATCACAAACACAATAAAGTCGTAAACAATGATGCTTTATCATAGTTCAAATGCTGTTTCCATAGCTGAAACTTTGGATTTTTGATGAAAATGCTGCCATCAATCTTCCTTATATAGTTTTTTGATGAGATCTTGGTGGGCACTTGCAATAGTTAGCATCTTGACCATCGAGTCCATTTCCTCCAGGTATTCCCGGATTTCCGTCTTGCCCTCGTCGTCCTGGCCTTCCAGGAAGTCCTGGTGGACCGTCTCGGCCAGGTTCACCATCTTCACCTGGTACACCGGGTGCTCCAGGTTCTCCGACAGGACCCTTCGGTCCTTGTATTCCAGGAGGTCCAGGCAATCCAGGTAAGTGAACCGTGCCTGGTTTGCCACTAGGGCCTTGAGCGCCGTCGTGTCCAACGTGTCCTGGAGGACCTTGTTCGCCAATCATTCCCTCAGGTCCAGGTGCTCCACTTTCACCAGGTGGGCCGCGTAGTCCAGGCGTACCCGGTGCTCCTGGTGGTCCAGGTGGTCCCTGTTGTCCGGGTAGTCCTGGCGGACCTTGCGGGCATTTTATGCATCCAGTTAATGTGTCGGATTCGAACCTGCAACAATCATTAGGAGATTATTCTGGATGATCTCGTCCGGCTAGCCAATAACTTCACTTACAAAAGCGTAAGACCTGGAGCGCCATTTTCACCGTGGGGTCCCTCAGCACCGTCTTGGCCACGCTCTCCTGGTTCACCACGTGGACCTGGTGGGCCAGGTGGACAATTCAGGGCTTTCCGTGAGCAGTCTGAAAGGATACCGTTGATGCATTTGCAGCATGAATTAACCATGACCATATAGATTTATACTTACCACATTTGTCTGACTGCCTTTTCTTCCTCGTAAACAGTTCGGAGAAAGTCTTTAATGGGACTTTGAGGGTGGCGTCCAAAGTTTTCTGCTCTGTCATGATGGTAAGCCATGTGTCATCGCTGATGGTCTGAATCAGTAAAAGTCACACTGGAACTTTACATAAAAATTTAGCATGAGTAAGAAAGCTTCGGCTTGGCTCTATAGGTTAGTCTCAGTGACCGGATTTGTTGCACGGCACGCGTTCACCTTGTCGTATCAGATCCTCCCTTATCAAACCAAATGGTTCAACCATCAGGAGCTCGTTAGCACCAACGTGGTTCTGAAGGGGTTGAAGACTGTTTCGAGCATTGGGTTGGGATACACCCCACAAAAGAAACTGTATGTTCACAAATGCGCTCAAGCGCCAATATTATTCGGGTACATTCAGGTAGCATGCACTATGTATATGGTATTTCCTTTTGTCAGGCTTCACTTCCCTTTGTTGGCGAAAGTTTAGATGAGCAAATCGAAAGAGGCGGATCAGAGGCACAAAGCAATGGCTCTACCGTAAACTATCACAGGATAACGATAAGAGCACTAATCTATACTGAGTTTTCATTCCTGATGTGGAGGTAGGAATCTCATTCGGCCAAAACGCCAAGAAGATACTCAAAAAGCACAGACCACGATAAAAACGTCTTCTAAGATTTTCCACTGGCACGAGTTCGTGGTTCCTTATGATTCCACATGGGGAGTTCTCAGGTGGTCTAAAAACGCCCTAGATAGGGCACAATAGGGCTCAAAATTGCCTTTTCGAATACCACACCTGAACGTGGTTTTTCTAGTGGTCATGAAGAATCTCACTATACACAATGGAAGAGGAAGGTCGAAGGCACAAACATACTCATCGACTGAGGTGTGCGGTGGAGGAAAAAAAATTTTAGGCAGCAGCACCCCGTAGCCAGTTCTTTATACAATCGCACATGACTGAAATCTCGTCCGCGTATCCATTTCGTCGGCATAATTTCGTACAACCCTACTTGTACCTTTGTTCTAGGAGCCAGAGAGAAGTTTCTTGTACGCGAATTCTCACGGCCAACAGCAGCGGTTTTATCGAAATCACCGTAATTCTTCATTGGAAGCTAGAATCTTCCCGTTCAAAACGCGCGACTGCAGCGATTGGGCGCGGCGAGCACGGCGAGGCGTTCGGGTACAAGAACCCACACCTTAAGAGTCTCAAATTCTGAACTTTCACGTTTTTCCAGCGTCGATTCACTATTCTATAGCAAAATTTCTGTTCTATACCTAGAAAAGGTCACCTCCAAATTATTGTAAGCTGTGCCTCCGAATGTACCAACTCCCTTTTGTCAAGTTAAGTCAACAGTCTTGGGAATCACTCATTTATCTTTCGAGTCTTTTAAATTTACCTTAAACTCCGTCATTCCTTGTCTGATATTTTCCTGAAGGCTACCGATATCATTAAGTATGACACTAATGTAGATGAAGCAGCCAATAGTGGTAGCAACGATGGCGACGGCACTGATCCCCAGAGCAGTTGACATTTCTGGAATTTTCAAAGGACTAGTCAAATAGAAGATCTACTACAGTGTGAACATCTTTAGGAAAAACACGAATTTAGCACTGAGAAAACTAGCTTTTCTCATGAACTGCATTCTACCTCCCTTTATAGAAGGTGGATGGATCGAACGTCTAAGGAAAAAAGAGCCCGTATCGAGTGCACGGCAAGACGAGCGTCCGTTTATGGCCATGGAAAAACGGCCGTCGATCTTCTTTATCTTCAACCGGTGGAATCTTCACCACCCATTTCGAAGATGGACATAAAAGGGGGACTGTCTGCTTGAGGTGGATCCCACGTGCTACCGCTCCCTTCCTCGGAGGTTTGGGAGAGCATGAGAAATGATGACTTTCACAGTCATCGTCATCGTCATCGTCATTTTTCAAGCACAGCTCACCTCGTAGGTTGGTTGGTCCTTCTAGAGTTTATGGAACAGGAGGCACCTTCAGAGAGCCATGAATAGCCGGTGAACCGTGAGCCGTAACCAAACAGTAGGCTGGTCCCGGACTGCAGGGCCTGCACTAAAAGGACAGAGCGGCGTAAATACGAGGAGTAAATGGTCCTGATGCTCAAAGTTCAACCTTATGTGCCTGGTAATGAATCTCTTAAAAATTTCAATAGAGTACGCTAATCTACCCCTGAAACCATTGGCTGTGGTTCAAGGGTTACCACCCGTTCGCGTTGCTTTCTCTACTTATCCCTCACCCGCCACCTAGTCTCAGATCTCTGTACCGTGTCCATTGCAACCTTCCTCGGTGATTTTTTAACCCAAGACACTGGCATTGAGGCTCAAAGGGTTAAGAGTGAAATTCCCTGGATTTCTGAATGACATAATTACAGGGCGAAGGGATCCCCCTGAAAACTTCCATCTAACAACAAGAGAAAAGCGTTCAAAACATTGTTGAGCCATTCAGACCAGGAACCTCTAAGACTCAAACCAAATTTGAAAACTTTTATTAAATTAAGTTTCTATGCCAAGATTAGCTAGTAATTTTGTTGTACTACGGTAACTGTATAAATAAATATTGATCTTCAATCACTTTCTATGTCGCTGTTTTTCCAAAGTGTACACATGAATGAGGAAGTTTGAATGAATGCTTATCATGGCAGCCTGAAATTAATGTGATGACAAAAGGGTTAAAAGAGTCATTTTTAAGAGATTCTGAATACTGAAATAATAGCAACTCCAGTGGGATGCGCCACGAACACCAGAAATTAAGTGCATACTGAACCTCTCATACTAATGCGCTCTGGTAAGGGGATTTGCAGGAACCTGTTGACTGCTCTATCGCAAACGCGTAGACGCTTTACGAGTCCTCACTGTTCCTTGTAACAGTTTAGGCAAAACTCAATTCCCGGTCAAACATCCCCTCGAAGAATTAACTTCTCCTTACAACTTACACACTTTGATATCAGTATTTCCAGAACTTAAAAAGAAAACGAAAAGTCATAATGGGTACGCGATTCCCACCCTTTTCGATGCTTTCGTTGGAGCACTCCATATACTGATGAGTCGATTCTTGCTTCCTAGCCAACATATGCCACTATCAAGTGGGTTTCTGGCTCTGACAATGAGCTTCAACTGAATCATTTGTATTGAGTTTGACACAAGAAATTGAAGTCGGATTTACGAATGATCCAGAGGAAGTGCTCACTGACCCCCATATCACGGCATACACGATTTACTGCACCAAAACCGAATGTTCCAGAGCTACTTTCTGAAAGACAAAGACTTTAAATAACGGATTCACCGAATAGATAGACTATGGCAGAGATTGCACAGATAGCGTCTTATTTGACGATTAATCGACCATTCGACCAGGTTGTTTTAGGTAGCAGCTTTAAGTTTGGGATTATTTTGTTATCGTAAGTGTGGGTACGCTAGATCGATAGAACTAGGGCCTTCTAGGTATTGCTTGGAGTTTTGTATGATTCATATAGCTTAGTAATTGGGTCTCTTAACAGAAGCCCAGTCAGATCTGAAGCCACTGAACTGACTGCCTAGAAACACCCTATTGGGTTATCTTCCGGGGAAAGACTCTTATTCTTGAACAACATACCCAAAAAAGCTTAGTAGGAAGCTGGATAAGGGAAGAAGAGTTATTGACTCCTAGAACCGGAATAAGCCTATCGTTGATGGGAGCTGTCAGCATTAGATGTCCCCGATATAACTACTAGCTGAGGAACTGTCGAGCCTGCAGCTCCTACCTGTAGCTTTTCGATACATATGGATTCGGGTTGTTGGTTCACTGAAAATCAAGTCCTTAGCCAGTGTAGGCATGTCGGCAAGGGTGAATGGTCGTTTCACAGCTTCGATACATTCGTAGTTCGATAGCTAAATGTATAACAATTTAAAGATATAGACGGTTTCATTGGCTTCGAACAATTTGAGCCCTTTTGGAATGCGCCTCGCAACTGACATTCGTTCAGCATTGCAGTAAAAAGCGTTTGCGGTCTACACGATGCCTTGCGGTGGCCAGCTGATGAATAAGTAAGTGCTTTTATACTTTCAGACTAGTCTGGTACCACTGGGTAGTGCAGAATAGTGCAAAACTATATCCAGCGATCAAAGCTTATCATACTCTCCCAGACTACGAAGCCTGCCATCTCTCTGAGTTCAAGTAAATGGCAACGGATTATAATAGCATCCTCTTGTATACCGCAAGCCCTGGTGGATGTTGGTAAAAGACATGGTAACAACTCTATGATTCTTGAAGCCTTTCTTTTCATCATTTGCCAATGTAATTTGCCACAATAGAGCTTACTTCATGTGATAAGCCACTGTAAACAGCTAGAACACGGTTCGATATTCGTGCCAACAACGGGAGGTTGTTACAGAGGCGGGTTGCAGCGCTGAAATTCTTTCAAAAAAATCTTCCTCTTCTGGTTGAGATGAAAGGATGTATTGATACATGATGATGGCCTTCCTACAGGTGGTATATGCAAGGAGGTTCAGGTAGGAAAGTTATGCCCCCAGCGTTACAGTCGTTTTCCTTCGACGACATTTTACAGGTGCAGCCCACTTTCATCTTTCAATCTACATAAATTTATCCCCTATAATGCATTCGGGGGGCACCTAGATGACAGTAATGCTGGGTGTACCGTCTAAGAAGTTACACAGTGTTTATAAAATCACTTACGACTGAACAGCTGAGTCGTTTCGTTTACCAAAACGGGATTGAAATTTGATTGGTAGAATTTCGCCCATTCCTCTGATGTAAAATACATCATGTGGAAAGCGCACCTTAATGAAAAACCCTGCTCTCGACATTCTGAAATACATCAAATGAAAATTCCGAGGACAAAAGTTCCGTGCCTTCATAGCAGCGATAAATGCGAGGCAGTCAAGTGATCCTGGTTCTCCGGAGTCGATGACACCACCCAGAAACAATACTTTTTGCCGAGGTGGAAAACCCGCTATACATAGCCATCGATGCAGGTCTTGGTATCTGTAAGAAAGTCTCTTCAAGCCATATCCAGTTCGGGATGCGCCACGCATTTGCTTTTCATTCAAAATGATCAGAGTAATTGAATGGGTATGA